TGGTATAAACTCCGTGTGCAAAACATACTAATCCGTCGTTTGCACAACTTCCCCGATTGCATTGCATTTACAATGATTTGATCTTTTCTTTGCAATGCCTTTGACAATTCATTGGAAATCTCCAAGACACTTCTCATTAACTATAGATTAAGGGCCTGTTTGAGAGAAATTTTTTGAAGATTTTAAGAGTTAGTTATATTGACCATTGGTGTGGACAAATGGGTCAGATTTTGTAGCAACTATTGACTTCATTATTGCTTAAAAAGGACAAAAACTAATGAAATAGTTACACCTGTTAAATGTTAGCATTATTTGTACACATTTCCTCAGCCATCATTTTTTACTATTCTTGGAACGCGAATTTGTCAGTTGTTAATGGAAAGAAAAACGATAAAAATTGCTTAAGAATTGCTCCCACACAGCCCTAAATGCAAAATCAAATGTATGTATCGATTCCAATAAATTTGTTGTATCAGATCTTTGATCACAAGAACAAGATTCATTTTCAACAATTATTGCAAGTACATCACTAACAGAAGAGAACAATGCAAGTTGACAAAAGAATTATAATGAGAATCCCATCGTGTATCGCCAGAATGTTGAAGGGTTATTTTTTGATTAAGCCCACATCCACTTAAAATCTCACCCTTTTTCAAATGCCTCAATAATGAAGTCTGATTGCTTTTCTTGAAGAAGATCTCAACGTTTAAAAGATGCTCCCACGGTATTTACCACATCACCAACCACATGAAAGAAAATAGTAATAGAAATGTTCTCCTTTACCACAGCTACAAAAGCTAGTTGGAGTTGATGAACAAAACAGTGAATATAAAAGACACATGAATTCTCTTTTAAAATAAGTGCTTTTAGACCATTAAACTTACTTTGAATATTACTTGCCCTATCATAACATGACTCATTTCCCATTATTGCAGCTGGGTCAAAGGCTGTAACAGGCTAATCTTTAGTGAGCTATATGCTATGGCGAGGGCATTGGAACAATTTTGGGAGTTCTATTGATGTTGATACAAGATAGATTCCAATGNCAAGATGAAAATGTCTTTTTGAGTCCCTTTTGAAGTATTCAATGCTTAGTATGTCTTCATTGGAATCTATCTTGTATCAACATCAATAGAACTCCCAAAATTGTTCCAATGAAGACATACTAAGCATTGAATACTTCAAAAGGGACTCAAAAAGACATTTTCATCTTGTTGCACTCAAAAGGGACTAAAAACATTCATTTTCTTGGAACCAGAGTGTATACTTCAATCAAGTTTCGACTTGTCTATTTTATCAAATTTCCAGAATTTCATGTTTTTCTATGAAGACTACAATTTTTGGACAAGTTGCCGGTCCTATGTTAATTCAAGTCACATAAGGGGAATGAGTCACTTTGATTCCTTCCTGTTTTCTAATACCTAATTTGATGTTACATAAAACTGATAGATGTCTACTGAATTCCAGTTTTTGATCTTATAACTAACATGATATCTCTATTTGGAGCCATTCCACGATCGGCTAAAATGTCTAATTTCGTCTCCAGTTCTTTTTTACAGTTACTCAAATGACAAATCAGAAGCTATAATCTTGGAACTACTACCAGAAGCAAATATTAAAAAAGGTCCACAAAAGGCATCCAAGTGACTCACTGATGAAGTTTGTTGGATTTTTGAGTGCTGAGCTATCTGATTCTACACTGTTTCCCTCTGGAAGGAGTTAATAAATTGAAAACCAGAGGCAGGATGAATGGAAAATGAAGAGGTGTTTTGCATTAAGAGAATGAGACCTTCTTCATGGAGGGTCGGGACGAAGGAAATGAAATGACCGAGGAGGCCGACTATTAATCAATCTTTAGCCTTTCTATCCCGAGGTACAATCTATACTATTAAAATGCACTTCATTTTTCTGTATGTGTCATGGCTTCACATGCTAGGGAATGAAGATTAAACAAATTAACTGAAAATACCTTTACTGTCACAGAGAACATGTTACTACAGATCCATTACAGAGTAGTTGATCTCAGGAAATAAAATGAATAAACAAATTTGACCAAATAAAATTGTGAGATTTACAGCATGTGGGGGTGGGCTATACATCATAATACTAATAGGTTCATATTTGGTAGAACGCTTTCAACAAAACTTATCTCCGATGCACCTGTTATACCATAGACATCTTAGAGAGACGACTTGGTGTTGGCCTAAAATTCCACCACCTCCAGCTTGGTCTGTGACATGGCGGTGCCAAGGCCCTTCTGATGATCTCTCTATTCCCTTGTCGTCTCCTCAGCCTATCAGAAGGAAGTGCTGCTGCCTTTGCTTGGTGCCAAAAACCTCTTACCGACCTTGAACCATGTTGTGTAGAACACGTGTACAAAGAATTAGATCTAGGAGGTACTTGATAACCATTTCGACAACTCAAATTCCTCTCGACCCTGCTTCCGGCTGTGGTTGATGGCGGCGGCCTTGGTGGATGTGGGAGCCTTTGTATGGTCACCTTTGGAGAAACTCTTTGCATTTTAGATCTTGTAATGTGATTCTGTTTTTTGGGTCAGTATTTGAACTAGCAAGTTTTATGGAGGTCAAGAATTTTACAGCTGGTTTCCTTGAAGAATCCTAAAATTCAGAAAGGTTGTGCTTAGACGTAGTTGAATTTGACTTGTTCGCCACTACACATATTACACATGCATCAATGGTCAACTTTGAAAAGTCAACACAATTAGAAGAGTAATTAATCTAAATTGAGAGGAAATAATTATTGCAGACAATCTAGAAGTTTGAACAGAGCCAAATTGTAAGGGTCCACATCCAACCTTCAACAATATACTTTGGGAAAAATTCATAAATAAAGT